CMWTTTTTTGCATTAGATTACCAACCTCTTCGCATGGTGACAACTTGCATATTGAATTGTCTCTCTGTCATTGAATCAAACAAGAATAAAGACTTAASTATCTCTAGCCTAAATGAATTTGTCTAATTTTTACCTGCGAAGCTAAAACTGTCAGCCTTACCTGATATAGTCTGTGTTAATGGGAAGTTTTTATACTGTGGACAGCTGTATTAAAATGGATTTTTTTCTTAATAAAAACAATATTACCTTCTCAGCAATAATTGATTAAAAAATAATATACCACAGCATCTAGTTTTATCCTATCTACCACCATTTGAGAGTATCATATTATATGTGGGTGGTATGGTTTAGTGGTTATCGTCCATGGATAAATACCCTATACAACTATGACCATGATAATTTACCTTAATTCTATTTCACAGCGACAGCTTTGCATATCAAATGGTAATGGCATATTGAGCTTTGAAATGAGAATGAAAAGTGTGTGAGTTTTAACAGCCAACAGTCTAATGATGCAGTAGGSTARTGACTTACAACACAGAAATGTGMAATCTTTTCATTGAACTGATAAGCTGAGAACATCAGATCATAATCCCCTTCCTCTATATTGGTATCCTAAAGGTAAAGAAATGAATTTTTGCTCACTAGATGTGAATGCAGGTGCTGTTCACATGTTGATAATAAGTGAAGTCACCTTAAATCGTTTGTATACATAATACAAACGCTCATTTATTGGGTCCCACTGTGCCCAAACAAATGGSCCCCCAACTTGCTCTGTCCTTGGTTGACTGCTAAGRATCTATGGTAGCAATAATATTGATAATGGAGAATGTGAGATTTGTAATAGTTCATTTGTATGCTCAATTAGTGATTTACCATTCCTTTATCTATTCTTGCCATRGGGATGTGATACAAACCAACAGCTAAAGAAAAGAAAAGCAACTTAGAATTATTAATACTACGATGTTTCACAGATATTCATGACATTGAATGACATGTTACTTTCAAGGAAATAATAAATTCATGAAAAGAACATTAAAGATGAACCTGGGAAATGAGAAGGAAGGAATGTGAGATGGGAAATAGAGAGAGGATAGAAGAAGGTAAGGAGAGAAGGGGAGGGATAGAATAATAGGATGGAAGGATTAGGTAAGGAATGAAAGGGGAGAGGAATAGAAAGATAAGAGAGAGAAAGGATAGAGTACAGAGAGAAGTGGGAAGGGATAGAAAGGRGAGGAACGGTGGATAGCATACTTATCCATAAAGCCTAGTAAGGTCAATTGTACCTTTCTTATGGTGAAAGAACAGCATATGCGCTTCTTTTTTAGATGAATTTCCATAACAATGATAAACACCATACAGGAACTACATACATGTAAGACATAACAATATCTTTTTGAATTATCTGCTAATATACTCTAATAAGTATGCTTTTAAATCATATGTATTAAATGATTTATTCATTACTGTATTACTTGCATGAGATATATTCAAATATACCTGTACTCTTTGATATGTTTGCCTTTCAATATACAGTGAAAATATCCTATTTTGAGGATGAATCTCAGCGAGAAATGACTTGTAGACACCTTCAAATAATGTTACAAATTATATTAATAAAATATCACTGATTTTCCAAGTGGCAATACATGAATTTTATTACTGTATGATGATAATCACTCCTCTTGTACATTTCCATAACTGAATTCATAATTATTACACGTTTGACAACTATTAGTTGAAATATATTGTCATACTAATAATTGCTATCTAATATACAAGCAGAGCAGCACTTAGATAACATTGAATAACATTGAATAATATTGAATGTACTATACCTGGATGTTGTGTTCCTGGTGGCTCATCTAACTGGCTAATAAATGACTCAATGATTGTAAATGCTA